TACTATAGCCGTTTGTTAGGGAGATCTGCCAGATTGGGCTAGTTGTTTGTGCCGCATGAGGCCATTCAAGGTCCTGATCGTAATGATGGATCTGAAACTGTTGAGTTCAGTGGGAAAATGTTGGATCTTGGAACCCTGAGCTGTCTCTTTTTGTGGGGGCCATTCTTGTATATAAGTGCCTTTTTTTTGAGAAAGAATTAGGAGAGAAAACAATCATATTAATAATAAAAAAACTGTTATTAGCAATAAACTGAGACCTTGCACTCACGCCTTAGCCTTGCCAAATCATTCCGCCTCTTCTATGGTGCAATGTTTTGTGACGTTTGGTATTTTCGAGTGACAATCTATTGCATTTTCCTTGCCCCTATTATAAAACCAAAAAAAACATTAACCCACTGCCTTCAACACTAGGAAAGTGGTCAAAAAAAAAAGTTAGCTTTTTCATATCTGGTAATCTTAACTGTACAAACCTATACTTACCATTTTGTCAACCAGAGAACTTGAATTGACTAGGAACATGATTAAAAAAAAGAAGTCAGTTTTTTTTTCATATCAGATAATTTAAATTGCACAAAATTATGCTTACTATCTTCTTACTCAGAAACCTTAAACTATGATCAGAAATCATGAAAAAAAAAAGTTAGTTCTAGGAATTGTTATAAAAAAAAAGGCTAGTTTTTTTTAATACCCAGTAATTTAAATTGTTAAAAATTATATTTACTACTCTGTTATTATTACTACTTTCATTACTCAGAGATTTTAAAATATAAGTAAGAATTGTGATTCAAAAAAAGTGTTTTATTCTCATGTCTTGCATATTAAATTATGCAAAACCATATTTACTATTCTCTTTACTCAGAAATCTTGAATTATGATCAGGAGCATAAAACTATTCTCTTTGCCCAGGGACCTTGAATTATGACCTAAAATATGATCAAAAAAAAGTTGGTATTTTTTTCATATCTCGTAATTTAAATTGTTCAAAATTATACTTATTACATTCATTACTCAGTGATCTTGAACTATGACTGAAAATCATGATCAAAAAATAAAATAAAATAATAAAAAAAATGATAAAAATAAAATAAACTAAAATAAAATAAAAAAATAAATCAAAAAAAAATAAATCAAAAAAAAAATAAATCAAAAATAAATAAATCAAAAAAAAAATAAATCAAAAAAAATAAATTAAAAAAAAAGTTTTTACTATAATTTGAAGGGTTTTTAACTATGTAGTGTTTAAAAAAAGGTTGGTTTTTTATAATTCAGTATTTTAAATATGATAATGCTGTACTTATCATTTGTTACTAGGGTAATATGGCTCAGAGAACTAAAAGCACATTGTGGCTGTAAACTTGTTCATGAATGTCCTTCTTTGTTGAAATCATTTAAAGACCTCAAATTATGATTAGATGTTGCTATCAAAAAGAAAAAAAAAAGTTTTTTTTTTGCAATAAAAGGATGTCCTTGCTTTTTTTTTCTTTTTAAATACTCTTATGAGAGACAATGGAAAGCATACTAAGAAGAGGCTTTAGATCATATGATGTTTAAGAAAAAAGGTCAGTCTCTTCATATAATCCAATATTTCAAATATGAAGACCATACTTACTATTTATTATTAGGAAATATGATCCAGAGAACAGGAAGTGCTTCGTGGTCATTGGCTTGCTTGTAAATGTTCTTTTCTGTTGGTATTGTCTGAAATTCTGACCTCAATTAGATTATTGAAATGTTAGATTTTTTTTATCATATATAGGGTTAGAGTTAGTTATTAGTAATTACAAATTTTCAAATAAAATCATATGTACTGTTTTTTTTTTAGAAAATTATGTTAATCTTAAAATTTCAGCTACCTGTAATAACTTTTATAAGTGTTATTTTGTATTTTAGCAAAATTAAGCATAATTTTAGCCAAAATTCAAAATAGCACTCATGGATAGACTTGAGATAACTTACCTGACAATGTAACTTATATTGTAAGTTACATCATAAGTTACATGACCTTATGTAAGTTACAAATATATATAGTGTTAAAGCAGGTTGATATTAATAAATTTTGATTAGCATTAAGATAAAACAAGAAAATTTTTAATTTTAGGCCAAAAGCTAAAGTGGATCAACTTTAAAAATAGTGGCTAGCATTAAATTAGTGTAACATTATATAAGTTATGTAAGTTATGTAAGTTAAAATCTAACTTACAGTAGTTACCCAACTCTACTCATAGATAAAAAAACCATCACAATTTTTATCATAATATTTTAACCCTAGCCAATCAGAAACCTACAGTAGTATTAGTATAATTGATTTGTTGATCATATAAATATATAAATAAATTTGATATTTGTTTACATTTTATTTTATTTTTTAATCAGTTAATTATGCTTGCTATTTCAAAGATTTCTGAAATGATTATAGAATACTAGTCTATTGTTATATATCTTTAGTCAAAGATTATTTCTCTAAATATTCAAGATCCTAAGGCAAAATATAATTTTGAAAGGCATTATAAAAAATTTGAGTTAGATAGTGAAGCACTTTACATTCCTGCCATTTATAAAGATGGTGAAATTAAGCATAAAAGGTATTATGTGGTTCCCAAATATGATATGAAGTTGTATGCTTTATTGCTAAAACATTTTTATAATAATGCTACACTGTAGTTATTATAATACATATTCTACACTTTCTGAAAAACATATTGGTATTGTACAAGTAGAAGTGCAAGAATATATTAACAGAAGTTCTACATGTGCTGCTAATATTTTTATTAAAGAAAGAATAGATATTAAACCAGTTATTTCAAAAACACTGTAGGAACATATTCAAATAGATCTTATCAATTTTCAAGATTATGCTAAAGTAAGATTTGATGCTAAAGTCAAACCTCTAAACTTTAATTGTAACCTCTAAACCCTAACCTTCAAAATTCAATTTTTACATCTAACCTTATAGGTAAATTACAGATTTGCATGGTTGTTAATGTGTGTTTGTATGTTTCCAAATATTTTATTGCAATTTCTATGAAAAATAAAGAGGCTAGAACAGTTGCAATGCATTTTGTTCAAAATGTTTTTAAAATTTTTGGACCTCATATTATTCTTCAAAGTAATAATGACAAAGAATTTGTGATGAAGATTATTAAGCAAATTTGTAAAACCCTTAATATCAAAATTAAGCGTAGATGCCCTCACCACCCCTAATTCCAAGGTCAGGTCGAACAGCTCAACCAAACAATTGGTTGTGGGTTTACAAAACTGCTATAAGATGATCAGAATAAAACACAACAAAAGAATTGGATTAATGTTGTGAACAATTTTGTTTATATTGTACAACTCAACTGTTTATAAAGCATATAGACATATACCCTATAAGATTATATTTAGATAGAAAATGCATAGTGTTTATGAATTGCCTGAAGTTATTTAATCGAATAAACCAATTTTATTAGATAATGTTAATAAAGAAAACTTAAACAATAATGTAGAGCAGTATATAGAACAAGTGGCACAAATTAATAGTTAGTAAACAATTTGCTAAGAAAGTATCATAAGAAATTATGCTTATATAGTAGTGTTTATTGCAAAAAAACAAAAAATAATACAATTCAACCTGTGACTATTGTCTTTGTTGCACCTAATCATAATACAAATTCACAAATCGAAAGTAAAAATTACAACTAGTATTTTTGCAACAGAGAGTTTTTAAATAATTAGCATCAAACAATCATACTGTAATTATTAAAATTGATAGAAAAGATGTACTAGTCCTAGTTGAAAGAGTTAAAGTTGTATAATACAGTTTTAAATTTTTTTTAAAATTTTTTTTTTTGACTTTTTTTCCTTTTTTTCAAAATTTTTTTTTTTTTGAAATAATCTACTTGTTACAATGGTTCAGTACTCAGATTTTATTTAGAGTTATTTAGGGTAGACAGAAGTTACTATCAAATTATAGATTTTTTATTTTAAATTGTAATAAAATACCTTCATGCATAAAACAAATTTTATATATGAAAATGATATTTGAAATATATGTGCCACCTTTCTTTAATTAAATCTCTGAACTGCAAGTAGATGGTTTTGTAATTCAAGGTCACAATTCAAATTACATTAAAAAAAACTTTTTTAATTATATTTCCAATTATAATTCAAGGTTCATTAAAAGTGGTATAATCTTGAATAATTCAGATTACCAAGTATAAAAAAAACTTTTTTATTTTTATAATATTTATCATAATTAAAGGTTCTGCAATTCAAATTACAGTTACAAAAAAAAAGACTTATTTTTTGATTGTGTTTCAGCAAATTACAGTTACAAAAAAAAAAAAAAAAAACACTTTTGATCAAGTTTCATTATAATTATAGGTCTCTGATTAAAGTAAATAGTAAAAAGTAAGTATGCTTTTGAATAATTCAAATTACTAAGTATAAAATAGTATGATTTGGTGTAATTTAAAATAGCAGGTATGAAAAAAAACTCTTCAAAATTTTTTTTTTATCACAATTCCTAACTAATAAAGATGGCATAGCTTTAAATTACCAAATATGAAAAAAAGACTTTTTTTGATTATATTTTCAGTTGTAATTTAAGATTTTTGAGTAAAAGAATAATATAATTTAGCACAATTTGAAATGCCTGGTATGAACATGATTCCTAATTATAGTTCATAATTTCTGAGTAATGGTGGTATAGTTTTAAATAATTCAAATTATCAGATATGAAAAACTAACATTTTGCACAATTTACATATCAGATATTAAAAAAAAAACTTTTTTTAATCACAATATCATGTTTCTTAGTTATAGTTATGGTGGTAAAATGGTTTTAAACAATCCAAATCACTATGAACAAAATATTAACTCTTTTTTTGATTATATTCCTAATTGTATTTCAAGGCCCTAAATAAAAAAAATAGTAAGTATGATTTTGCACAATTTAAAATAGGATATAAAAAAAGACCCCAACTTTTTTTTTGATTATGATTCCAGCCATGACTCAAGCTCCCTGAACTTAAACAATTCAAATCACCAGGTATAACAAAAAATATATTACTTTTTTGATTATGTTTTCAGTCGTACTTCAAGGTCTCTAAATAAAAAAGAATGCTATAATTTTGCAATTTAAATTACCAAAAAAAAAAAAGCTTTTTTTTTTATAATTCTTAGTCATAATTTGAGATTCCTGAATAGTAAAGTGATAAATACAATTTTTGGTCTATAGATAAATGAAATGGTAAGCATGGCTTTGCACAACTTATATTACTAAATACAAAAACATTTCAGGTTGCAATTTGTCCTTGAGTAAAGAAAATAGTATGCTCTTGTGCAATTTAAATCACCAGATATGAAAAGTTTTATTTTTTAATCACAAATTCTGATCATAGTTTTAACCTTTTTTTGATTGCATTTTTTGTCAAATTAAGGTCTCTGTGTAAAGAAATATGTACAATTTTGCTAAGTTTGAGTTTAAAAAAAAACATTTTTGTCTATTATGTTTTAGGTTATACATTGTTTGAAGTTCCTGCTTTAAATATAGTAAGACTAGTAGTACTGAACTAAGAAATTTTTTTATATACATGTTTTTATTCTGCATTTGCTTTTGGTAAAGAAAACTTTTGGTTCATATTACATTCACCTTTTTATTACAATATACTTCATTTAATACATCCAACTCAGAGAATATATAATAATTATCAAATTAGTGATGCACCAAATTTAGAAATATATGATGATTGACAATCATTATATGAATTTCAGCATCAGCCAATCTAAGCATAAGCCACCACAATTATTTAATAAGTAATAACTAATAATGTCCTAACTAATGCTTAAAAGTTATATTGTTTTAATAAAGAACTTTGGTTAAAAACTTTTTCTATTATTCTTATACATAACCTAGTATTTTTTTTAAATATTAAGATGAG